TTTATACTCATGTGAATTTTACCGTCTTTTCAAAAATTTCTATTCATTTAACATTTTTTAAGTTTAGCTTATCACACAGGTAAGTGAAAATATGTTTGATCTCTTTTTCAAACACCGTATAGTTGTAAAAAGTCGAAAAAGTCAAAAAACCGAAAAAATCCAAAAGAACCGACTAAAGCCGAAATCGAAAAAACCAACTTTATGTGATTTGATTTAGTTTATAGATTTAATAAATCGATATAATTGGTTTAGATTTTTTTTAATGAAAAACCAAACTAAACCGACTTATGTACACCCTTAGGGGTCGTTTGGTTTGAATATGAGTTATGATGGGATAAGTTATGTTGGGATAAGTTATGTTGGGATTAGTTATGATGGGATAAGTTGTCCTGGGATTATTTCTTATTGAGTGTTTGGTTTGTTATATTCAAAATAATATATATTGATAAATTTTAAGAACAAGTTGTTTGTTTACAAAATTACCCTTCACTTTATTTAAACTTTTTAAATTTTTCTTTGTGAGCTTTAGTTATTCATTTTTTAAAATAAAATTTTTATTTTTTTTAACTTAAATATTTTTGTTTATGTATTCCCATGATAAGTACCATGTGTATTTAAAAATATAACTTTTTTCTTATTTAGCTTAAAAATAGAACTTTCCTCTTAAGTTTATTAAAGAGAAGAAAATTTATGAGAAATCAAAATAAAATAAACATAAGAATTAGTCAAATAAATTCATAAATAAAAATTATATTTATATAGTATAATTTTTTAATAGAAAAATATGTATAATTATCATAAAAATAAGGAGTAGTAAATATTATTATACATGGTATTAAAAAAAATGTAAATATACATAAATGTAAAAAATGATATATAAAAAGGATTTAAAGGGACATATTTGTCATTTACCTATTCTATCTCGGGATAAGTTATCCCGGGATTACTATACCACCCATGGGGAGGGATAACTTATCCCGGTACTAATTATTAATCCCGGGATAAGTTATCCCGGACTTGCCAACCAAACAACATAATTTTTTTTTTATCCCATCACTATTTCCTTATCCCATCACTATTATTTCTAATCCCTCACACCAAACGAGCCCTTAGTGTAAAGAAGGAGAAGGAAAGCAAGAGGAAGTTTCACATCATGATTTGAATAATAATAGTAATACAGGTAGCTCTATTTATTACACTATGTATTATATTATTTAATAGAATAGTATTTCAATCAACTGCCAACAATGGATGCAACATGCTGGGGATGAAGAAAGTCAGATGATTAGAAAAAGTCATCCAATTGGGCATTCTTACGTAACTTTTTGTCTGCAAATATTTAATAATACCTTCATTTTATACTTTCTCATATTTTTAAAATTAATAATGCTTACTTAATTACCATCTCATGGCAATATTTCATCCCTTTCCTTTATTTAGGGTACGGCAAATATTTTTTTTGGGTTTCCCATTTGGTGTCCGGTATCCATATTGGAGCCCGACTAAATTCGGATTTACGACGGAAAGTTCCACATTGGGGTAAAACGCTCCCTAACAAAGGCGACTCCGTGTCCAAGGAGGCTCAAACCCGAGACTTCTTGGTTAAGGATGAAGGAGTACTTACCACTCCACCACAACCTTGGTTGGTTAGGTAGGACAAATATATTGTTGCTGAGATTAATTTTTCATAAATTAAGACATAGACTTGAATGTATATATATTGTATACCGTATATAACACAGAACTCTCTCAACTTATTAAGGGGTTCAATTGGCTGGAAACAGGGCGGAGTCAGCCTTCTGTTAGGGGTTCATCCGAACCTCCTTCGGCAGAAAATATACTATTTATAAAAGTTAAAATTATTTTTTATGTATATATAGTAGATGTCGAACCCCCTTCGATTAGTTCATGTGTTTAGTTCTTTAGATTTTGAACCCCCTTATTAAAAATCCTAGCTCCGCCACTAAGTGGAAATAGAACTTTAACTCGTTTTAATTAGATTATGGGGGTAAATTTAACAAAGAACTATTTTCAATTTCTATAGTTAAAAATAATTACCGTCATAAGGTTTCTAGAAGATCATTATTGTGGAGTTTCACCTGTTACTTGAAAAATGTATAAGTAGTAATTATATTTATTAAAGACACGATCATTAAAAAAGTAATCAATGAACACTATTTTTTCTGATTTATATATTGGTGCTCTTTCACCATAATTTGTAAGCCCCAGTTTTATTTTTGTTTAAATGAAGAACAAAACTTTAAATTAGGGGACCAAAGTGATGGTGAATTGGTCATGTGCAAAATAAGTAGACAATAAGAAACCCGAAAAAGATTCTTGATTTCAGTTCCATGATCACACATTAAATTTTGATTCTCTCTCTGCTCAAACACCCATGTGATTCTATAAATATTTTAGTGTTTTTTTTTGTGCCTGCAGTTTAATATTTACATATAAGGAAAAAAATTGTTTTTTTGGTTAACAACTTTGTTCTTCACTCAAAAAAAAAAAAAAAAACTTTGTTCGTCACTGCTTTGGACTGTGGGGCTTACTTCCTAATCCCAGTAGAAGTAGTGACTAGTGTTATAGGTAGTTGGGCGGCCGAAAGATTGCCACAAGTAAGTAAGTTATGATTTCACAAATGTGATATAAAGAGTGTAAGATGTATGCAATTTTATCTCTACTTTATGAAGTAAAATATTTGTTTTTGATAGACTCTCCGCGACCCCTTTCTTTATTGGGGCTTGAGACCGAACATATGAGTGAGCTCACACAAGTAAACCTTTTTTTTGGTTAATTCAAAGAAATGCATAATTAGAAACAAACATATATTGTATACTCTATAAAATTTTATATAAATCTATCGTCTGAGGTCATGGTAGATTAGTAATTAGAACCTTTACATTCTTAATAAGAGGTTTTAGATTCGAGATTGGAGAATAAAATGGTAATTTGTTAAGGAGATATCTCGTTAACTCCTAAATAAGACTTTTCTACACATATATGAATGGATTGGTCCAAAAATAAGTACCGAACACTGAATTAAAACACTAAAAAAAAAGATGAAATAATATTATGAATAGTCTATCATTCCTAACTTTTGAGTCTGTATTTTATCCACATAATGAATGTGATCGTGATTACTGAGTCCACTGTCCATGGGCATGATCTACAGATTCAAAATAATGAGGAAAGAGATTATATAACACATTTCAAGATTATAGAATATAATTTCTTGTTTTTATTTATTCAAAGAAATAACTCAAATTCCTCCATAGTTTTTATTTTTATTTTTGATGTTAGGCCAATTAATTTTATCTAGATCTTATTTTCTTTATATACAAGTAAAGGGTAAGGTATGACTTATTTTCACTTTTAATTTGCTATAACAATTTTGATTTTGAGTATCAATAAATTTGTTACGAGTTACTTTTGGAACAATAAATCTGTCTGACTATTTGTGTGTACATATATAAGAGTCATCTTTTTTGCTATCCCTTCTTTCATATTATATATCTGTATTGTGTGATCTTATAGTATATATTTCCTATTAATGACGTAATAGTGATAACTTAATTTTCATCACTCTAAAATAATAATCAAAGATAGCGTTATGAATATTTTAGCTAATTGCTAATTGTTTATGCTATCCAAAAAAGTATGACGTCAACATGAATATGGACACATTGATTTAACAAAATAATACAGTATCTTAATTTAGGAGTTATTCAAATTAGTTTTTAATTAAGAAATGCTTTTGGTGTTGTCATCTCTCTTCTTTCTTCAATGCATCGAGATTTCTTTTGAACTAATCCAATTAGTAATTATAATATGACATAGTATATAGTATACTAGACTTGAGGTGCACTTTAATTTAGGTTTGGGAACTCCTACAAATCTAGAAAAAGTATCCATTAAATTTATTGAAATCCTTAATTTCATTTTCTAGAGAATTTTTTTTTCTTGAAGATCATTGTTTGAATTTCCACTAAATTCATGTTTTTAAAACTTTTTCTTAAATAGCCTGCTTGCCAAATTTTTATACCACTAGATAGTAAATTAAATAGAGAAGGGGTGAGGTAAGGCATCAACTAACATGCTAACAAAAATAGCCTTTAACAAGCTTTTAATTAGTCCTTAAGAGAATTGGACTACAATTCAAACTCTGTTTGGCAAAACAACTAACATACTCTTTGTTGGTGTCCATGCTAAAATCAGGTAGAGTTTTTTTTATTCGAGTTTGAGTTTTATACATTGACTATATAAAAGAATATTTATATTCAAATCACTTAATCAAAAGGTAATTCCATATAACTCTAATTTTTTTCATTGCTTAGTAACCTCTTATAAATGATATATACTCCATGAAGTAATTGTTATAATATGTTAAATCACTCTAATTGTGGAACTATCGAGATACATAGACAAACATTTCTATTATAAGCGGTCATTTTCTATACCAATCAACTTTCGTTTTTGAAATCGACTTTTTAATTATGTAATATATATAATAGCATTTTGCTATAATAGTAAAAAAAAAAAAAAACCAAATAAACAACGTTGTTATCAAAAAGATCTGACTGTATAATTTAATTATTGATCAATTTCCTTTAATTTCTTCTATCCATGCTTAATCAACAAGAGTAGATATCATTTAAATTGGTGAAAAATAAAAAATTAAATTAAATTAAAGCATGGTCTGATGAGGTCTAGGTTATGTAAATTTAGACGTCTAGGTATAATTAAGCATATAGTCCAAAAATGGTGGCGCCCATAAATAAATAAATAAATAAATAAATCAATTAGGATTAGTATAGCATAACAATTAAAAGAAACGTTAAGGTCGTTTTCAAAATAATTGTAATATTAAAATTGTCATTTGGATTAGTTTCACACATTTACTTGCACGTCCTCTATAAACAAATGCAATGCCTTTCCCTATCTGTCACCTTTCACACCCTTTTTATACTCTTTTTCTCCATTTTCTTCTTCTTCTTCTTATGAAAAATATAATCTCTTTCTCTCTCTCTTAACTACTTTCTTATCTTCTATATATCATTATTAGAACCAAAAGAGACAAAAAAAAAATTAAACTACTTCACAAAAGCAAATATGAATGGAAGATTCAATAACTTTTTTGTTTCTGAGCAAGAAGATTCCGAGAATTCACCGGAAAACAGCTCCGATTCACCGCGTTCCGGTTTGTTCAATGATAACAAGATGATGACTTCAACTTCGTCCCCTAAAAGAAGGTAAATAATCTCATATACATATAGTATATATATTATACCTTCTTTGTTGATTGCCATGAGTATGGGATCTCACTACTAGAAACAAGGGTTATTCCCGCAATTAATCAGTGGAAAATTTGTGTTATAGAATATGATTTTCTCACTTATTTTCCGCTCAACATATAATGGGAAATAGATTCTCACTGAATTAGTGAGAAATTTCAAAAAAAATTATATGAAAACATTAATATTTTTTTTCTTTTTTTTACCTATTTAATCAAAATATATACGAGAATATCTACTGAACATTAATATGTTTTTTCACTTTTTTTTTTCTTTTGCTTCATTTTTTTGGAAGAAAATATTTAAGAGATTTTAGGGTTTTGATATTTTATTGATCATGTGCTTGCATGATAATTAATATATATGGTGCTTAATTATAATGGAGTAATTTTAAAAAAAAAAAAAAAATTTGCAGCAGAAGATCCATAGAAAAAAGAGTGGTGTCAGTGCCAATTAAAGAAGTTGAAGGATCAAAAATGAAAGGTGAAATAAGTATGCCACCATCTGATTCTTGGGCATGGAGAAAATATGGACAAAAGCCCATCAAAGGTTCCCCCTATCCCAGGTTAGTTTAATTATTAGTAGTATTTTTTTTGGTATTATCGTAATTTGATAAACTTTTAGGTCTCAATTGTATGAAAAATTGAAAAAATTTAATTATTGAATTTTTGTGATAATTGTAGGGGATATTATAGATGTAGTAGTTCAAAAGGATGTCCAGCTAGAAAACAAGTTGAAAGGAGCCGTGAGGACCCAAACATGTTGGTTGTGACATATTCTTGTGAACATAACCATCCTTGGCCGGCTTCTAGAAATAATCAACACAACCATCGTACATCATGTATTATTAATAATAATACCAAGACGAAGATGAAAACAATAGCATCACTAACAACAACAACAATAACACCAATATCAACGACAAATTCTGATATCGCGATTTCAGAAGAAAAGGTCACGAGTGATTTCACCCGTCCATCGGAGCCTAATTCAGACGAAAAATTTGTCAATCTCGGTGAATCATCATCGTCTCTAATTAGTGCAAATGAATTCGGATGGTTTTCGGATTTAATTGAGTGTACTTCAACAACTATGCTAGAAAGTCCAATTTTGACCGAAGTTAACTGTGATATTGACATGTCATCAACGTTGACAATGCGAGAGGAAGACGTGTCACTTTTCGCTGATCTCGGAGAGTTACCGGAATGTTCAACGGTGTTTGGCCGTGGAATGATGGAGAGAGATGAGGAACATCGTCGACTTAGCTTGACACCTTGGTGTGGTACTACAGGCTAAGATGGTTACGATATGTGTTATTTGTCTTGACCAAAAAAAAAAAAAAAAAATTATAACTTTTTTTTTAATTGATTCATTAGGAAATTGCGCGTCGTGCGCCATAAGATACCAAAGCAATTTGGTTTTGGCTTTTAATATTTGTAAGTTTTCTTAGATTTGAGTGTAGGTTTTGTAGTATAGTAAAATAAAAAAAGTTGTCCAATTGAGAGGAATCTGTCTCATTCTCATTGTAATTAGCATCATTGGCCGTTTCATTTCTAACGGCTAAATTTCATCCGATGCCTCTTTTTACTTTAAGTAAGATGGAAGAGATTTGCCAATTGGGTCTACCGTTTTTCTCTCTCTTTTGCTTTCTTTATATTTCTATTAGATGGGTCCGGACTCGGGATGCAGCTATATAATATTGATTATAAATTCGAACGACTCAGTGATTTTAACTTAGACTTTATATTTATATCAAAAGAATCATTAAATATGCATTGTGAATTCAATAGATCAAATTGAGCTATAAAGTTTATGACAAATTCAGAACTCATCAATTTTAAATTCTAGTCCAATCCCTTTATTGACGGAAGATTGAGAAAATGAAAGGAAGAATATATGAGGATAGTGAGAATTGAACTCAACATATATCATGTGAGATACTACCACTAATTTCATTAAATTATATTGGTTCTTATGTTTCAATTTATGTGACACTTTTCACTTTTTGATAGTCAAGTATATATATATATATATATATCAATTTCTTATGATATATTTTTTCATCATATAAGTGACCAAACAAGTAAGCAATGATGGTTCAGCCTGTAAGCTAGCAAGCTTACAAAAGGGATGAATTGCAACTTATAGTCCTTTTTTAATATCTAAATTTTAATTTTAAAATATTGAGTTAATCAAATTTGATTTAACTTCAAAAATTAGTTAAATTATCTCTTGAAAAAACGAAAAATATCACGTAAGAGGAAGTGGTAATAATGAATACCTTCACCTCCTAGGCTTTTACTCAGTTTATATGTATCAACCATTATTTTTGGTAATATGTCATACTGGGAAATAATGCTACGTTTTTTAATAGTTCATGATTTCATTCTATGTATTAACAAATATAGACCTATTGAGTAGTCAGTGAATTTTAAATTCCTGCATATATCTCATTTAATTAGTTCCAAATTTTAATCAAGTGGATGATAACATATTACAGTCTGTTACTTTTGGATGATGCATTTATTACAACTTCTACTAAAGTGAATTGTTAATAAAATAATGTTCTAGTCAGATCCTATATATTGAACCACCATGTGTCAAAACCTTTGCTTTAGCCTTACAAACCGGTAGTGTCATTAACCTGTTAAAGAATTCTGGTTTTAATTTGCAATAAAAAATAGGGTAAAACATATGATATAATAATAGTGAACAAGTATGTATAATATATAGTATGTTAATCTGGTTTAATTGGATAATCCAATCCCTTCTTACAAATTAAGGAAACGAGAAAACTGGCAAAGAAAATTGAGTAGAGCTTACCCAACTAGTGAAAAATGAACAAGAAGACAAAAACTATAAGATTCAATAATCCTTTATTAATTGTTTCTTATTGAGTTCTATTAATGCAAGCAAAGTGGCACAACTCTATTCCCAAAATCCCATGTGTATATTTTATTCATAAGCATCTTTTTTCCTCATTTTTGATAGTTGATTTCATACTAGAAATTTCAATGGTTCTCACGTTAATATAACGAAAAAAAAAAACATTTTAGTACATTAATCAAAATTTACATAGTTTAGATTTTGAGAAGTCAAAATCGACAAATAATTTAGAACGACGGAAATATGTATGCTTGCAAATTTGATGATTGATTAAAGAAAAAGAAATTGGTACACTAGCTTTTATCATGATTCATGTAATAGGAGTGGCTTGATCCCTTATTTGATCAGGAAAAAAAAAGATAAAAAACAAATCATCATAGTTCGAAGTCCAGCTCCAATAATTTCTTCATAAGTAAGGTGAAGTGCGTCTTTTGACTTGAATTTAGGGGGGGAGGTGTTTGGTTGAAGTAGCTACGACTTCAGTAGTAGTCAGTTTAAATTCATAAACCAAAATTCTTCCACTCTATTGTCGACATTCCATTCCCCTTAATCATAGGTGTTTCGTTGTGTTTTGATTTAAATGAGCCGGAATTACCATATAAGGATGATTTAAATGAGCCGGAATTACCATATAAGGAAGAATTAAATTAAATCATAAATATTGAATTTATAGTAATGGAAAATGACTTTCATAAATCACTCAAATTTGATGTGACTAATTACGAACTTCACTAGCTGACTGCCTTAAAAGTCAAAATTAACCAAAGTTTTGACTTTTTAAGCTATATTGATATAGCTAGCTGTACACGTTGAATAAGAGTTGTCCCACATTTTTATTTTATTTTTTGCAGAAGAATAATTTTGATTGGTTACATATGATTATGATCATCAATTTCCCATATATAATGGTGTTTACACATGACTTCGAATCAAATAGCATTATCTTAGCTTGCTAAGACAGGGTATTAAGAATTAGTTAATCATGATTAGAAACTAATTAAATATTGGGAGAGGAGACTAATTAAATATTGGGAGAGTAGGTAAAGAGGCTTAAATGAGGGACCCAAATTGTCCTTACATTATTCGTAAATAATTGTGATTTTTAAATTGTAATTTATTTGTATTGGTTAGAGATTAGGGCCGGTTTTTTATTTTTGCTCTTAAAATCTATTATCAAGTTGTTTTTAGAGCTTTTAATGAACTTTTAGAGTGATACGTGTCCCCACATGTTGCACGTGCAAGTCATGGATTAACGTCAGTGATGAGATTAAGAATCTTTATCAAGTGTTTCTTCTGTGCTAATCTTATCTGTTAATTTTAACTATAAATTAATTAAAGTATGAACTAAGGTGATATCTTGCTAAAAGTCTATCTGGAGTTATCTCTTTCTGTTTTGTTTAGTCATACTCCTTCCATTTCAAATTAATTGAATTGTTGATACATTTTTCATTTTTCAAATTAACTTAATTGTTCAATTTTCAAGACTATTTTTAGAATGGTCTTCCAATTTTACCCTTCATTAGTTCGTATTGGAATTAGTTATTAATTAATGTTTAGTTATTTTAATCATAAATTTGATAATATAAATAAGGGTAAAAATAGAAAGTTATGCCTAATTGATATCTTAATCTTCTTTTCTTAAAGGGTCTGAAACACCTCAACAATTCAATTAATTTGAAATGGAGAGAGTATAAAGCTTTTGCTTAATCAAATTTGACAAAGTGACGAAGCAATGGCGGAGCAAAATTTTCATCAAGTGGAATAAAAAATCAAAAAAGTAAATGTACAAAAGAATCAAAGAATTTCAACATATGGATAGCATATAATTTATTTACTTTTACCTATTTACTCTATGTAATTTTTCATCGAAAAGATGTTAACAAGTTGAGAAATGGGGACTAAAAATCACTTTGTTTGGTTGTTAGAGAAAATGATAAGAGTAGGTGGACCAAAATAATTTCCCTTTCCTTATTTCTATTTTCTTCATTCATACCAAACAAAGGAGTGGAAATTACTAACTTTCCAATTTTCTTTTTCTTCATCTACAAATGAAAAAGGCATGTTGTCATTTTCACTCAATTCAGAATGTTTTATGTTTTTGTCTGACTTGTCTCTTATACCAGTGGCGGAGCTAGTAAGAGTTCAGGGTTCATCCAAAACCCATTTGACTTCATGTGTTTACTTCTTCACATCCTGAGTCCCTTAGTGAAAATACTAGATTCATCACTGCTCTAAACTATGCCAAGTGATTTGGTTATGAAATAAGCAGTATCAAAATAGCCAAGATAGTTACCAAATGCCCATCTCCTACAAAACCAACCTAGAGTTAAAACTACTCTTCATCACAAGCACTGGAGTATCAACACCAGAGCAAGCACAAGCTACCTAGAAGTCAATTAAAGTAATTGAAAAGAGAGAAAGAATGATTCAATAGTTAAGCCATAACAGGTCTACACAAAGGGTTTGGTTCCATTAGAAAAAGGTTCTCTAACATTGATATTCTTTACTACCAACCAAAACAAAAACCAATTTCAAAGGTAGTAGTATCAAATAGGATCGTGTCAAAGGTAGTCTGGACAATTTTACACTACCGGTGCACCTAGAACAGGATACAGCAGCACAGATTATAGCCCTTAGGATGAACAGCAACCAGCTTTCTTGACATCAGATACTTCTTTACCTATATCAATCTTTTCTCCTTTGGAAGGCACGTTTCCGTTTCCATTCTCACCATTTTCCATGGCTTTTCTACTCACGACGTGGTAGATTTGAGTGAGAACTTCAGCAAATGCATTCTCAACATTTGTAGATTCGAGGGCAGAAGTTTCCATGTAGTAGAGGGATTCCTTCTCCGCGAAAGACTTCCCGTCCTCAGTTGACACTGCAACCAGATGCCGCAGATCAGATTTGTTTCCAACAAGCATGACAACGATGTTTGGATCTGTATGATCTCTCAACTCCTTAAGCCACCTCTCAACATTTTCAAATGTAGAATGTCGAGTGACATCATACACAAGCAGAGCACCCACGGCACCTCTGTAGTAAGCACTGGTGATGGCACGGTACCTACAGAACAATGTAGTACAGCCGTTATCACATAGAAACAATACCAAATAGTGTAGAAGACAATTTAATAACTAAGGAAAAGCTTATTAGTCAACATGTAAATAAAATCACTTGGGATGGGCATCACATTAAGAAACTATTGATGACAACATGGTAATTTTAGTGTCATATTTATTTCTCGTCCTTTCTGAGGCATCACAAAATATGTTAAGCACAGTCTCATAGAGTTTCCAACCCTCAAAAATAGTAATATGTCCACTATAATAGATTAAGAAAAGGGCATCTCTTGCCCCTTCTCACCACCCTCCTTACCTAAATAGGGGGGTGGGGGATGTAAGACAATAAACTGTTCTACAGTCAAATGGTTCTAAAAGAAGTATTCTTGAGCAAAGTACATGTTCATCTCTCTAAACGACGGGTAGACATATGATAAACAAATATTAGCTGAAATCTCATGATTTGATGGAAAAACAGAAATCACTAGATATGGAAGAACCTAAGGTTTCCTATAATATTACGAGAGAGAAAACAAAAAGAACAATAGGATCGAGAATTTGGGAGAATAGGACACGCAGGAGATGGAGGAATCAAAAAAATTTAAGCTCAAGCAACATTTATAATGAATTAATAAAATTAAATATAGTAATCCTCTATGGA